CCCCACAATGATGAATCACAGCCCTGCCCGAAACGTGTAATCCCGTTGATAAGATTCAGGCCGTCAGGGGTTCGTGGGAGGAGGGTACGGGGGGTGGGGAGGGGGGAGACACCCCTTATCATTCAGTGGCATTAACATTCGGGTTCGATTAAGTCACGGCCGCCAGGTGTCGTCATTGTCACGCGTGAGGCAGGGCCCCCTCCCCCCCCCCAAGGGGCACTTTTCCGAATGCATTTCCCCTTCCCGAGGAAACCATCGAAGCACGTCCAAGGGCCAGCGAGTGCTCAGAAACTTCCAATTGAAGAGCTTCCCCCCACCCCTCCGCAGGCCCCACCGCGGGCTTTTCCCCCTCTCTAATTTTCTGTTGATTTGCGTTGATGGGGCATCCCGTCCGTCCGTCTGTCTTCTGCTCAATTCCGAAAGAGTTTACGATGGAAAGTGTTTGGGAGCAGTCGGGCATGGCCATGGCCCCCTCCCCTCCCCCTTCCATCCATCCATCCATCCATCCAATCATCCATCAGCAATTGCATTTGATGATGAGTTTTGCATTAGCGAAATGAAACGATTGCAGGAGGGGAGCGGGGGGTCCAATGGCCAAAGGTCAAGCGAGTCTCCAATGGATTTCCCCTTTCGCAATCAAATATGCAAATGGGAAAACTATATTTTATTATTGAATGAAAGAAGAAAAGGAATGGAATGGAAGTGGAAATGGAAGAAGTGAAGTGTGTGCGATGATGGGGGCAGTAATCGATGGATAAGTGCAGTGAGAGGTGGAAAGTAGGGCTCTTTTCTAGGATTATCCATTAGCTAGAATCGTGTTCTTTCCAAAGGGAACTGTGTATCATAGGAAGACAGCTATATTCTCCCTCTTATGAGCTCCAAAAGATACTATTATGGGTATCAATGTTTTAGGGTCCGCTGAGGCAAAGAATGATCTTGGATAATGCTCTGGGATAACTACAGGTCTCTCATAGGAACTATCTCTCAAGGGCAGCGGGATTCCATCAAATCTAATGAATAATTTCCTCCAAAATTTCAGATTACTCCCTTGTGTGCCTCGACAAAAACGTTTCAATGAGTTCTATACCATTTTTCCCTATCTACAAGTACCATAATGGAATGATAAATGTTGGGCACTTATGGTACACTCGAGTCCGAATATTCCTCCAATCAAACATCTACGATAAAGGTCATATTCTGCCCACAAACTCCGCTCCCAAAACAAACAAAGAATGTAGCCTTAAGGCTACAGAAATTCTTCGAATTTAATTGCACTCCCCGCCCCCCACCTCTCCCCAGGAGAGGCCTTGGGGTTCCGTTCGGCGGGGGCTTATCAGTCCATTGATATGGTACATGCGCTCCACACTCTCTACAGTCCAGTCCATTGATATCAGACTATGCTCTGCACTCCGCAGCAGTCCCATAATACAGGGGGGGACGGGGGACGGGGACCCGCATTTCTTGGCGATAGAAAGCAATAAAAGAGAACCCGAGAAGTGGATTCTTTCAACAGCGTTTCCATCAGCAAACATTACACAAAAACTTGGCATAGATTCGGATTTTGTCCGAGGCATTTCAGTGTCAAAAGAACAGAGAGAGAGAGAGCGAGAGAGAGAGAGAGTGAGGGAGAGAGGGAGTCTCATATCTTTAGAAATACAGAAAAATACACTATTTATTTGCTTCTCTTTTGGTGGACGGACGGACGGACGGACCGATAAGTCTGAGAAGGAGAACAAACTACCGATAAGATAAGGGAAAACCCATAGAAAAAAAAATACGATTTTCGCTTTTACGATCAAAATTCTACAACTCCCGCGGCTGACTCAGAGGCACAGCCCCGCACGTTCAACGGAACGCCGAATGCACTCGGAGCCGCCCCCCACGCCCCCCCAACCCCCCTACCGCCTGTAAAAAACACGAAAAATATATATTATTTGCATATCAATATGGCGATCCCTCCCTCTCTCTCTTCTTCCCCTCTGCTGTTCGCTTCGTTGGCGACAAAATGCAAATAAAAGAAGTGCAAAATAATTGCAAAAAACGTACAAATACCCTGGAAAAAAAGGGCATTTCCGTTTGGTATTTCTCCCAGATTCTCATGTCACTAGAGAATATAGGGAATAGGGGTAAAAGGTACCCGAATCGGTGCTCCATCCATCGTTGATTTCCCTTTTTCCATTCACATAATCCTCTTCTAGTGACGCGAGGGGTCCTTGATTCAATAGGTCCCAGAAAGGTCCTAAAATATCCACCAAGAATATCGAAGAATCGAAATAAAGTAGCTTACTCAGAACCGAGGTAAAGAGGTAGAAATATCTAACTATTGGTATGGAAAATCCTTGATCAATCGTATAGGAAAAGCCCGATTCTAGGATGTATTTCATAGAGATCGCTCTAAGACTTCCCAAAGCTATGCCAACTTTATTCTCTTCCGCATTTCCTGGAGGATAAGTTCTTCTGGACCACTCCCAGAACCCCCGATTGGAATGGAAATTCCTTTAAATCCCTCGACAGATGCCACATGCCGTACCATCATTAAAAGACAGCCTTAATTCCTGTCATTGTTTCGTGACAAATTCCGAGAGAATGTCGGTCGGACGGAGAGTGATTCATGCAGACAGAAATACAGCACGTCCGACCCATCCATCAGGTCTCATAATTTCCGCGAAGAATATGAAGAAAGAGCCACAAGCCACAAGACATAAAAGCCATGGAAAAAAGTGTTGCCAAATGGGCCACAGAGATGAGGGCGTGGCCCGTCGAGAGGCTCTTCATTAACCCATTGGCAGCGATTTACGGCCCACGCCGAGAGCGAAAGAGTGGAGAAAGGGGGCCGGAGAGGGCGGAGAGTGTGGAGAGAGGCGTGGCATGGCAATTTATTAAATTGTCAGAAATGTGGACGAGAAGGAGGAGGGACTACACGAGGACGGGGAGTGTCTTAAGGAAATAGAAAAACTCGATTTGATAAGATAAAAGCATAAGGAAAATATGGAAATAGGGAAGGGAAAATAAAGGAGAGGAATTGTGGACTAAAATGGCATGGAATATACCCTTTTGATGCCATTTTTATAGACCTGTAATCTACATTATATTTTTGTCTCTTTTCGCTTAAACTTTCTCCCACAAAAAATGATAAAAAATACCTATTTTGTATATATGAATCATAAATCACTGGGGCTATTTCGTTTTTATTTCTTATCATTTTAGTTGATAGTATTTTCTAGTATTTTTAGTATTTATTCTAGTATTTTTGTCCTTTCAGAATAGATCTGAATGGGTATACAATCGCAGGGGTTCCCGACCTCCCGGAAGTTCCAACAGAAAAGTTTTTACTCTCGAAAATACTTCCTTCTCTGCGTTACAAGCTTCCCTTTCGAATCCGTAGCACCCGTCCATGGCAAAGGGCATCCAAATGTATTCATTTGTCGAATCATTTTTTGGCCATTGATTGCTTTTGGTGGTGTCGCTTTTTTGTCTGTGAGGCGTTGGCGTTATATAAACCCATAATCGTAATAATAATTTTCATTTGTTTTGTACACTTTTCTACCTTTCCTTTCGGACTTTTGTCTAGCAAATGAATCACTTAAACGGACGGAGGAAAGCTTTGTTCGGGATGCAAATGTTGGACGAGAGAGAGAGAGAGATGGGGAGAGGAGGGAGAGTGAGCAAAAGGTGGATGGAGATGGAGAGGCATTGCCATTCCATTGTCTGTCCCTGGAAATGGTTCATCAAAAGAAATCATCAGTAAAGAAAAAAAAAACACGACTGCGGGTGCGGGTGCGGGTGCGGTGCTTGGGTGCAGCTGGGACAGGGGCACGGGCGGGAGGAGGGCCTCCAATCAGACTCCATTATCAGCTGGTTGCAAGACACAAAGCCCGAGACGCGATGAACAATCTTGGGGCCCTGTTCTCTCCACAAAGAAGCCATAACAAGGCTGCGACCGACGGACCCGACGCACATTCAGATTTATTAATATTGTCTCTGGCATCCGATGGAGGATTATCTTTGCGGCCCATTGCACAGTAGCTGTGGGGGTCAGAAAAAGGTCCGATTGGGAGGGAACTTAGGGAACAGCTTGAAAGGAAAAGTTTAGCAAAGAGGAAAGATTAAGAGAGGAGAGTAAATTTCCTCCGAAAAGTTATCGTTTTTGCAACGGATTCAACGGGAAGCACCTTTCCGGGTCAGTCCTTCCATTGGAAGCTGTGGAAACTTGCCCTCTCTTGGGATCCACACGCGCTCTCTGGAGTGGATCGTGTCCCATCGGCGCAAAGCTGCTGTTGTTGTAGCAATCAGCTGTTCCTTATGCCACGGAGCGACGGAGGAGATTTTCTCGAATTAAACCCAAATCCCAGATAATTTTCTCATGGAAATCTTTCCGTTTCTGGGACGCAGTTGGGTGGGAGGGGCAGGGGAGGGGCGTGACTGTTTCTGGCTACATGAAATCATCAAAGCCCCGAAATTCCCATTTAAAAGACCTTTTCTTCTTGGCCCAAAAAAACTGGTTTCCCATTTTTTGTTTTAACTTCTTTTTTAGCCATGTTTTTCTTTTGTTTTATTTTTTTGGCGTATTGTTGTAAAAATCTGGCCATAAAAAGCGTTAAACAAGAGAAGAGGCTAGCAACGGGCGGTTGGGGCTTTAGATACCCTTTCAAATCGATTCTTTCTGTGTGAAAAGGGTATAAAAAGTGCTTAAATGCCGAACGTGTACCGTTAGAGAGCGCGCGGCCTCGATGCGGATTAGAGTCTCGAAAGCAAACGGTAAATGTCCTTGGCAGGGACCACACCCACCCCTCGACAGGCACGCCCGCCACCGCCACCGCTGCAGCAGAAAGCAACAGCAAAGGAAATGCGAATGCGAATGCGGGAGCAAAAGGGAGTCGGCGAGAGCTGTGGACCCACCCCGAAATGAGGAAGAGGAGTGAAAAGAACACACCAAAACTGCAGTTCATGGAATTTTCATAGTTTTCCAACAGGCGTGAGAGGAATGAGGAAAAACTTACTGTTGTCCATTTTGCTGTTGCGTCCTCTGCTGCTGCTCCTCTGCCTCTACCTCTGCCTCTGCCTCTACCTCTGCTCGTATGACAATGTTTTCAGCAGGAAACCGTTGCGTTGCAGTCGACGGTTCAATGCACGGCAGTGTTGTTTGTGTAGCTGTAGATGTACCTCTGCCGCTGCCTCTCTGCTTCCCTGCTGCCACTCTGCCCAACAATAAAGCCGAATCCGTATGAATCACGCGCGCTGCGCGCTGTTTAAACCGCAAACAAGAAAACCGGCCAGCATTTGGATGTATTTTTTACGTGTTTTATTTTGACCCTATTCGCAGCGGCGGCAGAAACGGAATTAATTATAAGCGCAAGAGCGGGATGGAATGGGATGAAGAAAGAGAGCACTACTGTAAGCGGCGCATTTAATTCGCGTCACGTAAAAAAACGCCAGCGTCGACGTCTGCAGCGAATGCACCGAAATTTGTTGGCGGCTTCCTTTCCACTCACACATACACACTCACACACGTTCTACTGCACTTTTCTCCTTCGTCTCCTTTGTATAGCCTTTTCGTATTCGTATTCTTATTCCTATTCGTTTCGTTTTATCATCACGCACTTGGATTTCTCTCACTTTTACGCTGTTTTGCCTCTTCCCGCTCTTCTGCTGCAAAACCACTTATTTTCGCGTGCACTTTATTTATTTTGCTTTGTTATTGATTTTCGCCATTTTCACACCTAGTTTTTCCAGCAGCCTCTCTGCTTGCGCTGCACCTCTGCACTGGCGCACCGCAACAAAAACCGCAAGCACCAAATACGCGTTAAACAAATACACTCGCAAAACGGTGATATACTGTGTGCTTGAGTACGAGTGTGTGTGTTTTTGAGGCGGCGCTGCTTTTGTTAATAAATTGTTTTCGTTCGTGTTCGAAAGAAAAGCGCGAGAAAAGCAGCGCGGACGAGCGACTTGAACCACCGACGACAACAACAAAAACAATTAGCGATGCTAAGTTATTGATATATCAATATATCGATATATACCTTTGGTTGATAATATATTCGTAGGCGATATTTTCCTTGAACTGCCGACTTTAGGTCGTATGACACTACTCTTGAGTACCTCTCATATTCGGATGGTACAGAAGCTTGAGACTCGACTAAATCCAAATATATATGTGCTTGACTAAAAATCTAAACTAAATCTAAGAGTTAGCTAAGTGTAGTGTCATACGAAGTAGCGCGGACGAGCGATAAAATATACCGTCCGACCGTCAGAAATGTTGTATATTTTTATATCTAATTTTAATGTTCCTCGTTTTTGATATTCCGTCGAATATTACTAGCTATATAAAACCCTCAACTCTGCCCACATAATTTTATACAATTAATGAACTTGCTATTATTGGAATTTACATAGAACTACCAATCTACTTGAACATCTTTAAATTTTCGCGCAATCTCTAACAGAAATGTTAGAATAATATCATTAGACATGCACTTAACAACGAAGTCTATCGTCTATCGTTTATGTTATGCGAAAAAATACCAAATAGCGCCACTTATGAAATCCGACGTTTTCTAATTTTCCGTATTATTATTTAATAACATATATATATATTCGTGTAGCTGTCCACAGCCAAAAATGGTATTAATTCAAAATTTTTCCTTTCCTTGCTTCTTCTGAATAGTTTAAATAACTTCAGGTCTTGATTACATCAATGGGAGGGAGATTTCTAATTGTAGGACAGCAGCAGGCCCTTGGCCACCTCCTTGACCTTTTCCAAACCCGCCAGCTCCTCGGCAATCTTCAGGGCAAAGTCGTAGGCGGTTCCCGGGCCGCGACTGGTGATAAGATTCCCATCCTTCACCACACTCTTGTCATCCACATAGCTATACAAAACCTTTCCCATTAGCAATCATATCAAGAGTAAGAATATCCGTACCCACCAGTACTTATCCACCAGTTGTTCCTTCATCGAGGGATACGACGTGAGGGACTTGCCGGCGGCGATTCCGTGCTTGGCCAGCACTGTGGGCGCGGCACAGATGGCGGCAATCAGTCCTCCGGCGGATTCTTGTGCGCGCAAGAGATCTCCGACGGCTGCAGAGTCTCCCATGGCATTGGATCCACCCAATCCGCCTGGCAGCACGACCACATCGAACTTGTCACAGGCCGCCTTGGCCAAAGAGGTGTCCGGCACGATGACAACATCGCGGGAGCACTTCACAGGCTCCGAGTCTTTCAGGCCGGCCACAGTGACTTTGATCTAAATCGAAAGAGTGTCAAAAAGTTACATTTTTCATTTTTGTTACTACTTACACCAGCACGGCGTAGCACATCTGCGGCAATGACGAACTCCATCTCCTCGGCCCCAGGAGCAAGGATAATCAGTGCAGTTTTCGACATTTGAGCATGAAATTTCCGCGAAAAAGCGGAGAAAATCATTCGACAGAAAAGGAAAAAATCACATCATAAACGGTCACACTGTGTTCAGCTTTAACCCACTTAGGCCACCTTTAAAAACCTTCTTACCGCGGAAAATAAAACTTTACGTAAATCCATTCTTCCTATTTACTTCCTACTGTTTTTTTTTTAAGTAAAGATGGAGAATATGATGGATCTACAAGAATTTTTATTATTAGTTTCTGCGTTTTAACTCAAGTGGTTATCCTTTGTAAATAAATGGGGTTTTGTGGGCTAAGTTCGGTTTTTCAACGCCATATTTGCGGAATAGTTTGAAAATTTCGGTCACACCGTATTTTTTATGGCGCGTCACGGCGTGAAGCTTTGTGAAGTTTAAGCACTATAAGTACTACTCAACCTGTGAGTGAAAAAAGTCCCGAGTTGGATTATATCAAAGATTTTTCACTGGATGAAAGTATATATAATATTGCTGAAATGAATGCCTCCAAGAAGACCGACGCTGCAGCTAAGAAAGAGGACATGGAAACGAAGGAGATGTCGGAATTAGATGAAATGAAGAAATCGAACGAGCGCGCTTCGGCCAGCAATAAGCCCCCAGCCCCGAAGATGGACTGGATAAGCAATCTGGGTATTTTCATCTCCAATATGTATATGAAGTCGGAGAACCGTCTGCCGGGAGCTTCTATGCCCAGGTGTCTGCGAAATACGAGGGAATGCGAAAACAAGCACCGCGCTGCCAAGCTGCCAGATGTTCCAAACAACTCTGTGGTGGAAGAACTGAAGAGAACGCTAAGTGGCCACCAATATGACACCTTCCTGGACCAGCTGGAGATGATGGCGATGCAATTTGTGTACCCGGGAAATGGTATCTTCGACAGGCTCGTTGAAATGGCCATGGTAGGAGAGTGCTTCTTGAACTGAGTTGAGAAAAGAGCTGAGTACCCTTTCCCTTTTCCAGGTTCTGATTGCCAAAGAAATGAGTGTCAGGGAGCTGGGAGACATCTATGCCAAGGTGATACGCACCTTCTTTCTCCTGGTCGATACCTTTCCGCCCTGCTGGACGAGCTTGCGCCCATCTTACTTGAATTTCCTTCGCATCCCGAATCCGTCCATTCGTAGCGCCCGTTCCGACAAAGGGACGTCAAAGCTGAAGTTCTATCTGGATCTTTTGGAGGAGATCTTGCCGCAATGCAGCGATATGGAAATCCGCGAGCGCACAAAGTTCTATGAGGTGCACGTGTTCAATTTCACGGAGGAGGAAGAAATGGACGTGTCATACGAGACGGCATTGCTGCAGCATGTGCAGGACTACGACTGGAAGAGTGGCACACTCTGTCTAGACGACTTCAATAATCTCTCGCCCGGGACACGCCTCTCGCGACTCTTCGATGTGCTGCTCATGCTGTGTCGGATCCTGGAATTGGAGTTCCTATCCTGGCTGGACCACAACCGTCTGCGCCAGTCCGAGTCCGAGATCTTCAATGAGGAGACAAAGCCGTTTGCCATCCATGTCTTCGGAATGTCGGCCACAATGCGGCTCACGGATATTGTGCGCCAGTTGATGCGTTTGTACGGCTTTGCGGCCCGAAAGTCCCTGTACCCCGACCGTCTGGAAATACTTCAGGTGATTATATATTATATGTATATATTTCCCATGCTTACCAACTCTTTTCCCTTTGTGTCAGCGCCTTATCTCACTCGTTGTGGAAGTCAGCAACACGGCAGAGCTGAAATACGTGGACAACGCTGTGACCTACCCGAGCCTGGGTCCGCAGACGCGCCTGCTGATTGCCCAGTTCTTCGAGATATTCAACTCGCAGAATCCCCAGCACATCGGCACCTATATTAGGAACATTCCGCAGTGGCAGCAGGCGTATCTTCGCTTCGAGTTCGCCGATCACTTTCTACAGCTGTTTTACTTCCCCCGAAATGTCGCGTTCGGGCCGAAGAAAGTGTGCGATGAGTTCACCGACAGGCAGTGGGCGAAATACAAGCCAAGGAGTGAGATCGAGGACGACGACGATGAGCAGTTGTCGCGGGAGGACTATCTGAATATACTCCTGAACGCCCTCAAGGACTATGACCTATGGATGAATCTGAAGCGCTTTTGGAAGGTTATGCAGAGCAAGAAGCAGCAGACCCCCGAGGGGACTGATAAGGAAAAGGAAGTGCCGCACTGGAAGAAGCGCGTCGACGCCAAGGTGATTGCAGGCAGGCCCAAGGTGAATTTGCCAGAGGCCAAAATAAACGTGCCTGAGCTAAGCGTTCGCTACAGCAGCGATGTGGGTTACATGCGCTCTCTGCGGCGTTTGCTCGTAAAGGAAGTCCAGTCGGAAATCGATGTATCCGCTTGGTTGGAATATCTAAATGGATTTCTGTGAGCCGGCAAACCGCCATCAGTCGTTCCTCCCCATCGTCGGACCTAGAAGAAAAAGCCTAGTGCGGTCCTTGGGCGCACGAAATTTTCAAATATGAAATTAGTTATTTTAAGTTTTCTGAAAGAAAGGAAGTGCTGAGCGATGGTTCGTTGTGAAGAACACATGCAAATTATTCATTTTCTGTATCTCTCCTCTGCAAACATATACTTATGTTGTAACTAAATACGCATTTACGCAAACATTAAACTCTTTTCTTTTGCAGATCTCCTTCTTCGCTTTCATGCGATATCTAAGTTCTTTGCAATGCTACATTTTTCACACTCAACTCTACACAATTAGCACTCGGCCATTATTTATTCGACGCAAACGTTGGCGGCGGAATTTGAATTTGTGTAACGACATACATATCAGTTGAGAAATAACAACGATTTCGGCTTTCAGTATTTTATTGCATGGCTGTGATTATTTGTGTAAGGTCACACTGATGCACTCACACTGGTCACACTGCTCGTACACTGATGATCAGGGTGACCGTTTATGGTATTTTCAATGCCTTTCGGTAATTTTTTAGGTTAAAATTGAGCCGACGGTATATTTACGGTTTTTTGGGAATATAATGGTATATTTTATCAATCTAATAAATTTAATTTTTAAACATATATTTACGAACAGACGTTATAAAAATAACGTATACAACGCATATTTTTTGAGTTATCGCTCTACAGCAACAGTCTTCAAATACCAGCAGCATGTAAAAAATGACGTGACACATTTTTGTGGAACTTGTTTGTTAAAACATCGTTTTAGACACAATTAATTAAAAGGGAGTACTTAAAGTAAGCATATGTAGTAGCAAATTCCTTCATCAATGGGATAAAACTATGTGGGCAAAACTGAAAGTCTTAGATCGACAGAATTATTCAACGGAATATCAAAAACGAGGAATATGTATGATTGAATAGTATACTTACGGTATATTTTGACAATGAGACGGTATATTTTGGTATATTTCTGAGGGTCAGACGGTATATTTTATCGAAAAATTCGTGGTCACAGCTGATCTGATGATCCAAAAGCCAGCAACAAAAAGTGATCGGAGCAGCTTATTTTTATCAATTTTATTGAAAACGCGCACGGAAAATCGACAAAAATATGCTCGTGCGCAACGTTATAGCCTTGGTGTTCGTCGGCAAGTGCCACCCATCGGGGGGGCAGTGAAGAGAAAGCCATTGAGCAATTTGTCAACAACAACCAACAAAAAAAAAATACTACTCAGTGCTCCGTTCCGTGTGTGTGGTGTGTGGTGTTCCCCAGTTGAAGAAAAAGGCGAGAACAAAGAGCCAAATAACCAAAAATATAGAAGAAAAGTGGCAGGAGAAGTGCTGGGAAACTCGCTGCGTGAAGGTAAATCACGGTTGAGGTGGAAAATGCAACGTTTGCATACGAAACGTGTGCGCAATTTGTGTATTTTCCAAAAGCAACAAAAATGCAACAGTTCGATTGCGAGAGTGTGCGCTGGTGTGGCGGTGTGCGTGTGTGCATGTGTATTTCCAATTGTATGTCTCCTTCATACCCCTATTGTGGCCATCGTTTGTGAGAATGTATTTCTCTCGAAAAAAAGCTGAAGGAAAAACGCAGCAAATCTGTGGAAAAAGTGTTTAAAAACGAAATGCAAAAACTGCTGGGAAATGTATGTGGGTTAGGTGTGTGCGTGAGGACTGTTAAGCTGTATGCATGAGAGAGTGTGTGTGCCACTGTTAACTTTTGCATTTGTGCAAGAGTACTGATCGAGTGTGATCTATAGTATTTGTGTGTATTAGTGAGTGCATTTTGGTTTACAAAATGTTTGATTTGCCATAAAAATACCAAATGCCTGAATTCCCTGCCCCCCCTGGATCCAGTATTTACATATTTCTCTCGCTCTCTCAACTATTTCGTGTGTGTGTGTGTGATTAGAGTTGGAGTGTGGGATAGAGAGGGGATCACAGAAACAGAACAGGCCTCCTCCTGGCCAAAGTGTATTAAATACGAGGTGAGGAATGACCAGAGTACGTTCTCCCGCACAAGGAGTGCCCTAGGAGTTGATATTCCCCCCTCACCCATGTTACTACACCCAATCGGACACCCAATTCTTCAGCTGCTGTGTCAGTGTGTGCAAAACTATTCACACTAGTTTTTAAATAGTTAAAGAACGGTGCTTACGAAAAGGAAGCTTCCTTGTCGCAAGGTCAAACTCTGCCCCCGAACGCACGCACTCGCGCACGCATCATTGTGTCTTGAACCTGCTGCACTTTTGTGAGTGGAGGTTGCCCCTCTCCGTAGCACCACCCCTCGGCAGACAAATGTCAACTGCAACAAATTGCGGCAATAATTCAGGTGTCAAAAACCCGTCTCGTGGGCGTTTACAATTGCAATTCTTTAAGAAAGAAAAAAAACGGCAAAGAAAAACCATAATAAATCGTGAAAAACAAGAGCGAGAATTACTGCAACAACAACAAGAACAAGCGTAATTGGGGGGGAATGAGAAAAACAAGACAAACAGTGAAAAGAACAGAACATGCCGAGGGGTACAGTGGTGACTGCCTCAAGGGAATATGCAAGTTTTTAGTGAATCTGGAAGATTTTTCCAATAAAGTGAGAACAGCAATTGGGAGGCAGGAGAACCGTTTGAGAAAACATATCCATAGTTCTGTGTTCGCACTTGGCCACTCTCCACTGTACCTACAACAATGTCTATCTCTCGCGCTGATGCAACCCTGGGCAGGCAGGCGTGCAGGCAGCTGCACCTCTGATTTACATACGAATAACAAAAAAAAAAATGTCAAAAGAAATATGGAGACAAATCTACAACAAAAGCAACAGCAAAAGCAGGGTAAATGTGAATATGAGAGATGCAAAAATGTGGCACAAGTAACTGCATGCTCTCTCCACGCCATACCACGTCCCTCTCCTCTCCTTTGGTTCACTTTGTAACTAGAAGCAGCGCCGCAGACGTTGACGTCTCTGCTGTGAGAAATGCGCTCAATGTCAAAGCGACAATAATTTCCCAGGCAGGGGATTTATGGAAGCGGAAAGGGGTTCGGATCGGATCGGGCGGGCAGACATGACAGTTGAAATGTAAATGTTGCAATTTGGTTAAAGCCAAGCCCCAAAAAAAGTCACAGTCTTCGAGCCAAAAAGAGCTTGACCAGGCTTCCAGGCCCCCGACGACTCCCCTCCCCCGTTTCGTTCCTTTCCATTCCGAACGTGCAAAATGTTGTTGCTGTTGCTGCGGCGTCATCGTCAGCCGACGCTAAAAATTGTTGAGATTCCATTCACATTCCAGCATGCAATTCGTAGTGGATTATGCGAGAGTGTATGTGTGCGTGCGTGTGTGTGAGTGGCTGGTGCTCTGCTGGTACGCTGCCAGCGGCGGCAGCATGGAACAGGTGAGGTTTTGTGGCGAGGCTCGTTGTTGTTGTTGCTGCTGCTCTTAAAAGTAAATGAACGATAAAACAAGAAAGGAATGAAGGAAGATTTGGAGTGGGCTGTGACGTACTAGGGATACCCTTTTCCTAAGCTTCAAAGCACTCTTTCTCTCTCGATATACTCCCACTTCTCCTATCGATCTCTGGTACTCCTTCTTTCTAGGGTGTAAGACAGAGAGCACACATTTCCAGTCCGATCTGAGCGTGTCCGTTCACGCGTCCGACCGGTCGAGGAGGGGGCTGGGTGGGCGGCCATTGATGACCAGCTCTGCAATGCCTTCCACATACCTCCCACCACCCCCCCTGGGCGACGCCACTGCCCTCCCATCTTAGCCGAGCGACAACAACAACGACGACGACGACGACGAAAATGCAATTTAGCTCGTTTTTCTTGCTTGCTTCAATTCTCCCCCCGTTCACTCCTCTATGCTTCCTCCTCTTTTCCACACATTTTGAAACATGCTGCAGTCGCTCTGTATGGGTGTGTGTGTGTGTGAGAGTGCTTGAAAAAAGGGAAAACGAAACGAAAACACAGAGAGTGAGAGAGAGAGAGAGAGAGAGAGAGAGAAGTGCACGCGTAGAGTAGAGCAACAGCAGCCGAGCCGAGCCGCCTTTCTGCCTCTCTCTCCCACTTCCCTTGTGGAATAAGTTGCCGTGGAATGCGCATTTTTGCAATAATAATCAGCAACTAATACTATTTTTATCTTCTGCCGCCGAGAGCTAGTAGGCAGTGCTGGTCTATTCGATGGTCTAACGGCCTTAACTGCTGATATATAGAGCCAAAGATCAAGTTCAGTTCAGAAGAGATGCAATATAAATTTACTAGTAATGTAGACAGTTTATATGAGAATTTTGGAAATTTTATAAGCCATTCCACTTTAAAAAGGCTAGATCTAGCCTGAAATATGCTACACAGCTAGAAGACACTGCGTTGCGTTGCGGCAGGCGTTGACGTCGCACACTTCTTCGTGGGGTGTGTGTGTGTGTGCGTGTGTGAGTGCGTATTTGAGTGTTTGCCCCCTGCTGGCTGCACTCAATTGCTCTCTTTACAGAGGCTGTTATACGCTAACTGAACAACAGAGAGATTAACAGTAGGGAATGCTGGAATGGAGATTGTCCTTCCAAATACACATACATATGTACATTTTGATGGGAAATTCCCTGCCATTAAAAGATCACTCAAAGCTGTGGGAAAATGTCCTCTCGTTTCCTGATTAGCCATTGGTAAATGTTCAATTCGGATAATTGCTAATAAAATGTCTCAATTAATGCTAAATAAAGAATTCCGCTTAAGCGGCAGCCTCTCTTTTATGTGGGGGAGGGAGGCCTGAGGCAAGGCCCGAGCTTTGGACGCAATTAAACAATTAAAAATTCCCAAAGCGTCGAGTCGCTTAATAACCCATCAAAATCAAAATATCCCTCACAATGGCAATGGGAATTGGAGAGAGGAAGAGAGATAGACAGATAGAGAGAGCACGCGAGTGGAATGCCAGGGTATTCGCTATTTGTATTGTTAATTAGTTATCGGATATATAATATATGTACTCGTTCGTATACCCACTCCCACATGCACATATATTTGCGCAAAAACATTTTGTAGAATTCGTGGAATGTGCAAAATATCCCAAGTTGGGGAGGTGGACCGCGATAGGGGGACGGGACACCTATGTACAGCGTACAGTGTACACCCCCCCACCCCACCAGGGTCGTGCGCTGTTGACATTCGCGGATATGGCGCGTGGAAGAGAGGTGTTTACCCAACCAGATCTACAATCCCACATATGTACATATTGTATCTCTATCTCTCTGCTCCCCGGTGTTATCATCTATTGTACGGCCGGCTACGGGTACACATTCCATGGCAAAAATGGAAAAAGTAAAGGAATTAAAGTAAACGCAGAATTCCACTTTTGTCAACAGAATAATTAAACTCATATTTTCCGTTCTTGTTTTTGCTTTTTATGTTGGGGGGCAATCAAAATATTGTTTAAAGATCCGAGACCCGCTAAATGTTGACAGATGTCTAGGGCCCGCAAAGATCTGTTCTCTTGAGGAATGTGTACCGACGAAAGGTGGTGGCATCCACATTTTCGGAGATAGTGGGCCACCCATCTACCCGAAATCATCCCCTCATCCCAATCGGATCTGCAAAAGGGTATCCCAATCTTTCTCTCATATTTCCCTCCTCATTTGCACTTGGCACAAATTCGGAATGTTGTTTTGTGTTTACGTAGTATCTCTCAGATACATATATTAATGGCTATTTCATAGTCAGGTGCGCACGCCATACCCCCTCCCCCCTTTGGGATAGTGTGAATTTAATGGTTCATCGTAAAAATGATGTTGGTGCGGGGATTTTTTGTTGTGTTCATTTCCCCAGAAATTCGATTTCGAATTCGAATTCGGGGATGACATAATGCCGCTACGCATAAATTATGTGCACGCGTCTTACTGTCCGCCCCCGTCCCCCCCTCTCAGGTGATGCAGCGCGATCTCTCTTCTGCGAAACTGTTTCCAGGTGAACTTCCTCTTGGTCTCTTGTCTCTTCCTCCCCGTTCGTGGGTCATTAGGAACAATGAGTGAGGCTTTTCCGGCCAGGGGCCGGCTCTCTTGAGCTGTCTGCTGTGCTCTGACTCACGTCTCTGGCATGTAAATGATGGGATTACGGTCCAAGGTACATATGTTGGAGAGTGTTGTTGTGGGTGTGTGTGTCTGCGAGGGATATTTGAGGGAAATTATTACCGTATGGTAGGTGCGTACCGTTAGGCTTACCGTTTGGTACTTCTTGTGTATGTGTGCATGTGGAAGCGAGACAACTACATGAGTATATCCCTGCGTTTGCGTGAGCGAGACAGCATTCTGGCGTGTGCGTTTACCGAATGACTTTGCTGTTTTGGGGCTGCTTTAAACGCGTCCGAAACGCGTCCTCGGCCATAGCGTGTGACAATTTCTGTTTGATCACAATTTTCACATCTTTGTTTTTGTTTTTTTCCGTCTATTTTCAGCCTTCACGTCGTCTGTTCTGCGAGTGTGAGTGTGTGTGTGTCTCTGTGGGTCCGGCCGTCGATCAATTAAAATTCCACTGTGGCCGCAGACCGCTCAAGAATCAAATCGAATTAAACAAAAAATCAACTAATATTTTGGTATTCAAATATTCAAATCGTATTCGTCTACCGCCAGCCCGGCCATTCATCGCCAGCCAGCGAGCGAGCGACTCTTTTGCGTTTGCATAAAATTTGAATTGTGATAAAAAAAAAAACAACCGAAATAAATCGAATACAAAATGCGAAGAAAAGAGGAATTATTTACATGCAAAATGAAGAAGTTTTTGTTGGAAATGCAAATGTGAAGAAGTGCCTTTTGGACGGGGTGTTCTGTGCGTTTTTCGCGTCGCGAGTGATAAATAATACTATTTGAAACGCAAATAAAAGGGAACGCGAAGGCGAAAACCCGAAAAGGAATACCAAAAAATCAAAAGAAAAGTAAAACAGTAAAACAAAAACTACAGCGAGTAAAAGAGCAACGAGAACGAGTGCAAAGCGGCAGAAATTATAGCGAGGGGGCGACAAGAGTAACCGTTAATATCATCCATAACCAGAGCAAAAGCTCCCGTTAAGCCCACTGAGAGAGCAAAGCGGGAGCAAAGCAAAACAAAGCCACGGAAAAAGCTCCCACTGAGCCTACACAGCGACAAGCGGGAGCAATGCAAAGACATTTATCTTTATTGAGATCAACAATCTCAAGATCAGCAGCAACAATAAAGATAATAGAACACCATAAACCTTCGCATAAGCACGCCTAAGTAGTTCATTATAAAGTCGCCCACAATAGAAATGCAAATGCAGAAAAGTGCCTAAGAATATACAGAAGAAGAGCGAAAGAAGCAACAAAGCAAGAGCCACAAATGTTGATTAAATAATTTATTTATTTACATATATATTTACTCGTACACAAGTGAATATTTTAGCAAAGTAAATCCCCGCAAAGGAGGGTAAACATAAAACATATTTATTTACATACGAAAATCTCTCCCCTGATGTGGGAGCGAGAGAAACGAGTGCCTTAGTGTTCGCGCGCCCGTTCGTGTGTGCGTTCGTGTGTGTGTGTGTGTGAGAGTGTGTGTGAGTGAGAGCTGAGCAGAGAAGAGTATTTTGTGATATGAGTGGAAAATACCGCAGAGAGAAGACGCAGCAGAAGACGCAGCAGCAGCAGAAGCAGCAGAATGCATCCAGCGGGGGAGAAAAGGGGCGGTCGCCCCAATGATAAATACACTGCGGAAGCCCTCGAGAGCATCAAGCAGGATCTAACACGATTCGAAGTACAAAACAATCAAAGAAATAATCAGGTAAGAAATCGATCAACTGGAATAAAAGTTCGTGGATGGATCTACGAAGATCAGACCAGTGTGAAAGTGTCAAGTGAAAATTCTTATCAACTCCCAGGAATTTCCATAGTGGTGACTCATCCAAAGAACCCCTCAATGCGTGCTGCTGTTTCCAAAGAGCAGCCGTAGAACATGTTAAAGCATTCAACCAACAACCATTTAGCCTGATATTATGCACGCCGCCTCTCGACTCGGCGGGGATCATCTTGGATTAAAGTCCACTCATTCCCAGCCTCGGGTTTTGTTCATTCGAGTCGAAGTTATGCCATTAACAATGCTTATCAAAACATTTTATAGCCCGCTCCCCTCCGCTCTCCGTATGGTGCGCCAAGACAGACACAAAAGGAAAAATCACGACAACTAATAAAAACCTAACAAGTAGATGATAAAATGCAAGCCACAAACAGAATCCGAGAGCCAACAACAATACAGATTGATGTGGGTGGAATTTAAATGGAATTTTTGAGTGGAGGAATGGGAGATCCGAAAATTTGGATGCTGTTTCGGAGTACAGAAGCGATGCGGAATGGCAGAGAACTCCTAACAGATTCCTAGCAGCTCTACAGCTGAAAATACAGTGAAAATACTCAATACTATTACAAATCATGATCTACGATCTCATGATTTTTGTATAATTTGGCTGGACTTCCATCAAATTTGTGTGAATTCTGAATAGATCTTAGTCTCAATAAGTTGAAGATGTTCTATGAAGGATCAATAGTTATGTAGATCCATAGGAAAGATCAACAACCGATTGTTTCTAGGATTTCCATCATAAATTTTAGGTAGTCTTAATTTTCTGATTGATCTTTCAACCGATCATATCTGTGTGCCTTAGCGATCGTATCGGATCACGCTAGTCCTAGAAGTTTCTTAACCACAGAACTCGACAGACAGAAAGGCGGCCATGAGGCCATGAGATGATTGTGCCTTATAGATGATGCCTCATCCATCTATGCAGATCAGGAATATATATAGTAGCTGGTTCACTTTCAGCTGAAATACCCCTTGGAAATAGACTGAAATTTCACTGGAAACTGGCACGAGCCATAGATTTTTCACCTGATAGAACAAGGTCAGTAGGAGGAGGAGGAGGAGGAGGTGGGTGGCAGGAGGAGTTGAACAAACAGAGAGAGTGGGAGAGCCACGAAATGAGCTAAAATTAAACGCCAAGGGGAGTGAGAGACAGAGAGAGAGAGAGAGAGAGAGGAATGGGAATGAAATTAATGAACTGACAAACGAAATGCAATTGACCTTCTGCCTTCTGCGAGAATGAGTGGGAGGCTGGTGGCACCGACTGCTGCCAGACAGAGTGGTGTCCAGCAAGCCAGAGAGAAAGAGCGACGAGTGTGTGCGTACACGCGATCGCCCTGGATTCCATCCATTGACGTCACACCGAAAATCATCCAACAAAAAAGTGAGCCAAAAAGATTGGAAAGAACAGAAACAGATCGAATCGGATCAGAGCTGAAGGAGCGATCGCTTGGCGGATCGCGGGATGAGTGGATTTTCTATTGATTTCAATGAAAAACCAGAGCGAAGAAGAGATGGAGAGAGAGAGAGAGAGAGAGCGAAAGAGAGGTCGGAGGCGATGACTAATGATCGGAATGATCTCGCACGATCCGCTGTAAATTTCAGCACCATCTCTGCAATTAGCCAAACAACTAGCAATAATCATTTATTAACTGTTCGGCTCGAACGGGTCTCTCCCTCCCTCCCTCTCTATCGGTGTCCCCATACTTCGATTCAGTGCGTTGCAACAGCTACAGTGCGTTTCAGGAGTGTAAGAGATGTGTCTTTGGCTTTATATCAGAGTTTGGAGTTGTTTAAATATGGTATTCATTCGAATACTTGCTGAAATGCACTGATAACTTGCTCAAATGGACTGACATCTTACATTAATCGATCATTGCTGGGCTCGAACTTATCGTTTTCCCAATCAGTTTAATAAATTCCCAAGAATTTAAGAATTACTGCATTTCTTCAAAAGCGATGGCTTTCATGGGAAAACTTTGATATATTTATCGAATTAATGCCAAATCATATCTGAACAGAAGTTATCGATACCGAGTTATCTAAACACATCTTTCAGACTCGTTTATCGATAAATATAGATCGAGTATTGGCCCGATTTGTGCTCTTTTGGAGCTACATGTTGTAGAATCTGCTTTAGATCGTTTTGAATCTTCGATGCGATGGTTAAAGCGCTAATCCCTATCGAAGTGGTACAATATCGGTATCGTTTTAGTATTTAATCATAGAAAATACCGACTCGCTCGTAGCGAATGTTCGAGAGCGGTCTATCTAGCTTCATTCGATGAATGTGTGCCTTGTGGAACATTATTCATTGTGTTCTGAACAGACCCCTGAACATTAAAAAACGTGTAACCCATACGAAAACAGATATCATTTACATTCCCAAGCTCAAGCTGTTTTTGGATGGATTTCTCTACTCATAAGCCCATTTATCATCGTTAATTGTTTTGGGAAGTGTCTTTGATTCACTTTAGAAGCGATAATTGATTCACTTTTGATGATTCACATTCCATCAGAACGATTCCATTTTATCATAATTTATCCAATGGAAAACCTAATGAATGCCTCATTTCGATTCGTAATAATCGCAATTATGGAAAAACTTCACATTCCCGATGTGCGGAATGTTTTGGCCATAACTGATAACTAATTCAATTTGTTTGGCTTTCCGCTTTGGGCCATTAACATCGTCATCGTCGTCATTGCACTTCCATTAGAAGATATCGATCGCTGGCGGAATTCCTAAATATCTGAAACGGGCTGTAAAAGCAGGCAGGCGGCAGGGGAGCCAGGGACGGGGGGAGGACATCATAAAAATTCTTAAATATTATCTGACGGGTCATCAATTAACAATTTTACGATCCACCACTTTCTGCCAGCTACTGTTTGCTGCGACTGTAAATTATCGCTGGATTCCCGACTGGACCCTGGCTCCAACTCCGACTGCGACTCCGACTCCGACTCTGAGGATCAGCCCCCAAAAGCATTCCACAAGACAGAGAGGAAGAGGCAGTGGCAGAGGCAGAGGCAGAGGCAGGCGAGAAGCAGAAGCAGAAGGAGATTTCTCTTAATCCAAGCGTTTGGGGCGGTGCTCAGGTTTTTGGCCATAAAAAATATGTTTGTTGGGCGATGCAGGGGGGGCATGCAGGGGGCATATGAGGATGTTGGCTAATTGTTATGACTTGGCCAGTTTTGGACAGGCCACAATTTAATGCTGCAATTGCCTGGCATTGGCCATGGTCGCTGCTGTCGCCTCTCTGGCTTTAGGTTTTCGGCCAACTTTCGCCCGATGTCTGGCTGCCTACACGCCTCTGCTTCTGCCTCTGGCGGCACAATGGACTGGCTAATTGGTCATGCTGAGCGGCTAAATACCAGAAACCCATAATCTGCTCATATATAGGCATCCCCCCGGCCTCCTCCCCCCTCCCGTGCCGCAGTGCAGCCAACAGCTGTGTGGGGGCAGGGCGTATGTCAAAGCGATAAACGATTGAACGATAAATAAATACGGAATTTATGCACCGCCGCCACCCGATCGCCGATCAACACTTTTCAGCGGCCATGTCCACCGCCCACGCAAAACGTTCCGCCCTCCCCTCCCTCCCTGCCTAGATTTTGGCGGCATTTCGAAGAGGGGAGTGGGGGGTGGGGAGAGGGGAGCCGTCGCAGACATTCTGGCCGGGCTATAAATATCTGCACATCAATAATGGTCAACCCATGCACTGGGAGAAAAATATGCACTGCTTTCGAAAGAATTTTCACTTTATGGAAATGGTGTTATATGCAGTGGAAGGTCTTTTGGGTCGACATTTATGGATTCAGTGTGTGTCTCCGTTGAAGGGAGAGCGACCAACCTGGAAATTTGTATTAAGGAAGGATTTTTATGGAACGAATCGTAAGAGAATGCAAAATGTTTTTTGATGTCCCGAAGATCAGTGGAAATATATGTATACAGAAATATATGATGCACAATTTCGAAGGTATTAAGCATCTTCTAATATTTGAGAGAGTATCATGCTCTGTATTGAGTTTCAAGTATGAGTTTTGAGAGAGGAGAGCTTTGCTTGACTCTGCTCTCTCTGGTGCTGCTCAAACCGACTTCCTAGCAATACCTATGATCCTCTCTGAGCGATGATCCATCCTCTCTCCCAAAACAGTTTGGGCATGAGAATAGGCAAATGACAAGAATAACGGATCATCAGAGGTGGCGAAGATCATACACTGAGATCAACCTGGTACCCCCTTGTTTCTCCAAGTGTACCCCGGCCGCACCGAGCTGCGGCAGAAGTATGCGCAGAAATTAATTAAAATAACAAATGCCGATAATAAATAAAAAATCAAACGCAAAAAAGGGCAACAAAATAAACAAGCGGCAAACGCCAACGCAGTGTGGCAGTCATCGGTGGCACGCAGCCATTACAATAAAAATTAAAATAATCCATAAATAAATTAGTAAACAAAGTGAGGAAAATGTGTGCGTTTGACCATCGATCCGGCGATCTCTCCGTCGATCCCCATACGACACCCAGAGACCATATGATCGGCGGTGACTCTTATTTGGTCCGGTTATGGCCCGCCGCCGCGAACATGTAATCCCCAAACCCAATTTTAGATTTGGTGCGAATTCATCCATCTAATCGTCTATTTATATAAGGAGTGTGTGCGGCCAACAGTGGTTGGAAGAAGTATGCGATCGGAGGGGAAGTAATTGCCAAAGAATGATGTGGATTCAAGGGATTGAAGGATAGTTGTATATGGAACTGAAATCACTCACTCTAGAGGCCTTTGCTCTATCAATAATAGTGTTCGAAGGAAAGCAAGGTGTTCAAGGAGCCAAACGGCACAAATCTACGAAATTCGCATACTTCTCAAAGCCACTGTAGGCCACTGTACACACTGTATCTGCTGTCTTTGAATCTTTTATGGGGGGGAACGGTGGGGACACCGACACGGACAGATTTTACATTTTCGAGCCAAAATGGAATTCCTTGGGGGGCAATTTTCGACTAATTTGCGCGATATTCGTGCGAAAAATTTGTTGAACCTGTCGTTGGGTTGCTTTCTTCTGCTTTCTCGCTTTCGCCTTCGCCTTCTCCTTTCATTAGTGTTTCTGCGGCTGGGCGCTGTGTTTTTAGCTATTTTCTTAGGAATTTTCACCTAAATATACGAATACTTCGTATGCTATGCTCTCAGCCGACAAACATATGCACGCACGCACATACATATATCGGACGAAGCAATCGCCGAAAAAAGAATGTTTTCTATATACACGAGTATCTGTGTGTGGGTTCTGTGTGTGTGTGTTCTGCCTCTAATAATAACAAAAGACAACAAGACGGACAAGCCCATACACACTCGCATGGAATACAAACACAAACACAAACAAACAGACAGAATGTTTGGCCTATGCCTATGACTCCTGTAGTGCCTTTTGGTACATGGTATGGTGTGGCATGATCTGGTCCGATCAGTGCGAGATATTCCCAGTGTTCACCCGCATCTTGAAGAAATTTCTACAGTAGACAGTCTCTAGTGGGGACACTCGCTTAGTTCTACATGAAGTATAATTCTAAATGAATCGATGTTTTATAGTTCTACTACTGATCAGATCTCTGATTTATCTTCCATCAATCTTTACTTCTGCTACGAAATATCATTCCACATATCGTTGACGTCTATCGATCTGCAATCGATCTCTAATCCTATTTCATCGGTAGTTCATTGTATCAAGTGCTCACTGTGGCCACATTTTACACAAATATTTGCCCCTTGCCAAGAATTTCGATTTTTGATGTATTTTGTTGGCGTTTGTTGGGATTTTTTGATAAATACCAAACGTACTGCTTCCCTCTCTCTCGCTCGCTCGCAGCACTCTCTCTCTCCCTATCGTCTCTATATAGTTCTTCGATCTGTAGCAGACAGTAGATATGTTTGTACATATGTGCAATTCGGTCAAGGTTGCATCATCCACATCTTCTTTACGGGGAAGGAATGGGCTGGGAGGGTGTGCTGTTTTGTGTAATCTGTAAATTCCTTTGACCTTGCCCACCCGGTAATCGCATGGCCAATTGCAACCAATTGCCAATCGCCAGAACCGCAAAGAAGGCGCTTAAGTGGATTAACGAAAGTGTTGGACAAGTCCCGCCCCCTGGCGCCCACCGCGAGACAAATCCAATTTATTTTATTTGGGAATTTAGCGGAATGCAAATTTCTCGTAGGCGACACTTTTTTCCCCCTTTTGTTGCTCGCTGCCTGCATTTGTTGGCATTTGTTGATTTAGTGTGCCCATTGGCTTTTGCTAATTTGCCGTAAATTGGCTTGCTTGTAAGACGATAGAGTGGGAGAGGGAGGGAGAGGGAGAGAGAGAGGTGGCGACGGACAGAAAGTCTGCTGGGGGTCTTCTTATTCTTTATTGGGTTTCGCGTCCTTGGTTTCAATTTGAAGCATATTTAACGCTTGAGACGAAAATGCATGTGAAATGGATGGTAATATGGGTTTTTGTGCCCAGCCTTGTACAGGGTATGCAGTAGTACAGTCACGTATGTATGTAAGAGTTCAACTACAGTTTCCAGCTGGTGTTTGAAGAAGAAGAACACATCCACTCCAGCTTATGTAGGGTATCCAAAAGTCAACATCCGTTAGGCAGCCGCAGTTACTGGAATGGGTAAACGGTGTAGGCAAGCGAGGGAGGGAGAGCGAGAGAGGTAAAGTCATAAAATCGAGGATCAGATCAGTCACAAAAGGGCAAAAGCAGATTGAAGAAGATCAAGAAGAAGAGGCATCAAAAGAACGCGTAAAACTGGTAGCAGCAGAGCGCTGGCAGAGCCAGAGGTAGCGACAACAACAGCAACGCATATGCGAAGGAAACAAGAACAAGGCACACACGCACACACGACACAACACAACACACCACACGCATACACAATCAAAGCCGAAGGTTGCCCTTGCCTGGCCTTGCATCTCGCTCGCTCTGTCGTTCGTTTGGGCTTCCACTTGGCGCATCTGGCAGCCGCTGTCGAAGTCGCAGTCGCAGCCGGCGATGGCTTGTTCCTCTCTTTGCTCTGCTCTGCTCTCTCTTGCTTGCAGGCATGTCCAGGGTATGTTTCGTGCGGAAGTGAGGCCCGTTGCATTCTAGACTTGCACGTGCATGCTTATGCGTATGCATGTGCCAGACTGTTCTACCTTTTATTTAATATACCCTGGGCTTGCGCCTGCCTTCCTTTCGTTTCGTTTCGTTCGCGCGCTCTCGCTCTCTCCCGCTGTGTGGTGTGTGCGCCGCCTGACTTTTAGGAATTTCTCGACGATACGACGGCAAGAATTTGATTCCAATGCTTTTTCGGTCGCTTCGCGCTGGTGTTTCTTCGGCCTTTTGTTTTAGGTGCTGCTTCTTTGCTTATTCCTTTTGCTTTTGCCTTTGATTTGGTTTTGTTTTGTTTTGTATGCGTCTCTTTTGTTTAGTTTTTGATATTCACACACACACACACACTCCTGCAAGTCGGGAAGGTGCAGGAATGTTGATCAGCAGAGCAGAGGCGTAGCCCCCTATGGGTGATGGGGGTCGAATTTTTAGTATTTAAGTATTTAAGGATTTAAGGATTGGATTGAAACTTATTCGAGCACTCTTCGTTGTTCATCCTTTGCAGAATTACACAGCTCTGCGATACACAGCCACCAATGGACGCAATGATGCACTTACTCCGGACTATCATCATGTCAAGCCGCCCATGGAGCCACCGTCGTCGGCGTCCCCGTCGCCGGATGTGGTCATCCCCCCGCCACCCGCCATCGTAGGTGGCCAGCCCGTGGTGGGCGTTGGTGTGGGCGTGGCCCTGCAGACGAACGGACACGTGCCAAAGATGATGAACCCCCTGATCCCCACGAAGCTGATTCGCAAGCCGAGCATCGAGCGGGATACCCCCAGCCACTACCTGCGCTGCAGCCCGGCCCTGGACTCGGGCGCCGGCAGCTCCCGGTCCGACAGCCCGCACTCCCACTCCCACCAGGGCCTCGGCGGAGGAGGAGGCGGCGGCGGGGGTGGCAGCCGGGCCAGCACCACGGGTCCGTACTCCCCGTCGCCGAGCAGCTTCAGCGATGCGGCTCCCCCGGCGCCGCCACCACGGAATCCGACGGCCTCCAGCTCGGCCACGCCCCCTCCGCCACCGCCCACGAACCAGGCGTACGTGAAGCGAAGGTCGCCGGCGCTGAACCGCCCGCCGGCGATAGCCCCACCGCCAGGAGCGCCCGGGACACGCGGCACCTCGCCGGTCATCCCGCAGAACGGGCTGAAGACGCAGCAGCAGCTCTCGCAGCAGATGAAGGTGCTCAACATGTACCCCGGCGGAGGCAACGGCGCCGCGGTGGAGCCCCCGCCGCCGTATCTCATCAACACGGTGGTGGTGACCAGCAGCCAGCCCCCGCCGCCGCCCAGCTACACGGCCTCGATGCAGTCCCGCCAGTCGCCGACGCAGTCGCAGCAGTCGGACTACCGCAAGTCCCCCAGCAGTGGCATCTACTCGGCCACGTCGGCGGGATCGCCCAGTCCCATCACCGTGAGCAACAGCAGCGGCATCCTGCCACCCCCGCCCGTCTCCGCGGGGTCCGTGGGCCTGGCCAAGCCCCAGCCGAGGGCGTACCAGGCGCGCACCCAGCAGCCCATCATCATGCAGAGCGTGAAGAGCACGCAGGTGCAGAAGCCAGTGCTCCAGACGGCAGTGGCGCCCCAGTCGCCGGTCAGTGCCTCCGCCAGCAACAGTCCGGTGCACGTCATGGCCGCCCCGCCATCCTACCCCCAGAAGTCGCCGGCGGTGGTGCAGCAGCAGCAGCAGGCAGCGGCAGCCGCCGCCCATCAGCACTCGCCGCTCCTGGTGGTCCCGAACACGGGGTCCGTGGTGGTGGGATCGTCCGCCGTGAAGCCACCCACGCCCACAACGCCGCCGCTGATGGGATCCGCTCTCAACGGGTCCGTGATCGTCAAGCCCGCCTGCATGGAGCCCCCCTCCTATGCCAAGAGCATGCAGGCCAAGGCTGCCATTGTGCATCCGCAGCAGGTCCAGGTGCAACAGCAGCAGCAACAGCAACAACAGCAGCAACAGCAGCAGCAGCTCCAGGCACTGAGAGCACTCCAGGCTCAAGCACAGGCACAGCAGGTAAGGGTATCGGTATTTATCGAGATGTTTGATCATTGAATGATCCATTTTTCCCTCAGGCGCAGGCACAACAGCAGCAGCAGCAACAACAACAGCAGCAGCAGCAGCAACAGCAGAAGGCAACCCTGGCGAGCAATGGCAATCCTGGCAGACAGCTTCCACCCCCACCCCCCTACCAGAGCAACAACAACAACGACAGTAAACCCGCCAGCAACAACAACAACAACATTCAGATCACAAACAGCAACCTTGCCACCACCCCGCCAATACCGCCCGCCAAGTACAGCGGAGCGGGAGGAGCTGGGGCGGGAGCCAACAGTTCGGGCGGAAGCAATGGCTCCACATCGACAGCGTCCTCTTCGGGAGCAAAGGCCGCCGCTGCCGCCGCCGCCGCCTGCAAGAAGATCAAGCACGCATCGCCGATACCCGAGCGGAAGATCTCCAAGGAGAAGGAGGAGGAGCGGAAGGAGGGGCGCATGCGGCAGTACTCGCCGCAGGCCTTCAAGTTCTTCATGGAGCAGCACATCGAGAACGTGATCAAGTCGTACCGCCAGCGCACCTACCGCAAGAACCAGCTGGAGAAGGAGATGCTCAAGGTGGGGCTGCCGGACGAGACGCAGGTCGAGATGCGGAAGATGCTCAACCAGAAGGAGAGCAACTACATCCGCCTCAAGCGGGCCAAGATGGACAAGAGCATGTTCGTGAAGATCAAGCCGATCGGCGTCGGTGCCTTTGGGGAGGTGACGCTCGTCCGCAAGATCGACACCTCCAACCATCTGTACGCCATGAAGACGCTCCGCAAGGCCGACGTCCTCAAGCGCAACCAAGTGGCGCATGTGAAAGCCGAACGTGATATCTTGGCGGAGGCCGACAACAACTGGGTGGTGAAGCTCTACTATAGTTTTCAGGATAAGGATAATTTATACTTTGTGATGGACTACATACCCGGTAAGGCCGTCCCGTCCCTCCCATGTATATCTATCCACCTCTAACCTGTCGTCTCTTCAGGTGGCGATCTCATGTCGCTGCTGATCAAGCTGGGCATCTTCGAGGAGGAGCTGGCCCGTTTCTACATAGCGGAAGTCACCTGCGCCGTGGACAGTGTACACAAAATGGGCTTCATTCATAGGTAATACCCCCTGGCATAGTTCTGCGTCAACTAAGGGATTGGTAGTGTCCCGTCCAGAGAGTCCAGTCTATGTCCAAGCGAAACGCTGGATCTAATCTGTTCCATCTTATTTCTAACTCAATTTGATAGCACAATTTGTTCGATATCTGAAATCATTTAATCATTTAATTATGTGTTCAATTACTGCCTCTATTCGATATGATTTTGTACTCTATTCGATATGAAATATGTACCCCGAACATCTTATCTATTGAATCCCTAATTGTTGTACCCTTATCTGATACAGACGTTCTATAACTTGACTTTTTCTACGAATATGTAGGTGTTTTTGAATGCAAGGTTATCCTATTCTAATCCATAGGCTATGGACTAGAGCCCATCCATAATTGAGAACAGAACCCATATAAAATAACAATATACTGATCATAATCTTAAGAAACAGTAGCTGTAATAACTATCCTTGAACCGAATACTGATGTCCAATCTTCTGAAAACAGTCTCTTAGAGACAATCGCAGCCATTCCAACAGATAGTCTGACTGCACCTTTTTGATAGCTGATGATAGTTTTCTATACATTTACTCAATGTTCAGATCTTTATATATATATTTCCCGATCTCCTTCTTGCAGAGACATCAAGCCTGACAACATACTCATCGACAGTGTCGGACACATAAAACTCACCGATTTCGGCCTTTGCACGGGATTCCGATGGACGCATAACTCAAAGTACTATCAGGAGAATGGTAAGGCAAAGGAAGGCTGAGCAGAAAGAGAGATCCTCTAATCAACTGCACCCCCCATAGGCAATCACTCGCGTCAGGACTCGATGGAACCCTGGGAGGATTACTCGGAGAATGGACCCAAACCCACTGTGCTGGAGCGGTAAGTCCATGAATTGCATCCCCCTTTGATTATTCTTTAATCTGGAAATCCCTGTGATCCCATAGACGACGGATGCGCGATCACCAAAGAGTTTTGGCCCACTCGCTGGTGGGGACACCGAACTACATAGCGCCCGAGGTGCTGGAGCGGAGCGGCTACACGCAGCTGTGCGACTACTGGAGCGTCGGAGTGATTCTCTACGAGATGCTGGTGGGGCAGCCGCCCTTCCTGGCCAACACCCCACTGGAGACGCAACAGAAGGTGGAACAAACGATTGATATTTCGCTGAATGATGGGTTTACCTAATGATTTTGGTCCACTTTGCAGGTCATAAACTGGGAGAAAACGTTGCATATACCGCCGCAGGCGGAACTCTCGCGGGAGGCCACCGATCTGATTCGGCGGCTCTGTGCGTCGGCGGACAAGCGGCTGGGCAAGAGCGTGGACGAGGTGAAGAGCCATGACTTCTTCAAGGGCATCGATTTTGCGGACATGAGGAAGCAGAAGGCGCCCTTCATACCCGAAATCAAGCATCCCACGGACACGTCCAACTTCGATCCGGTCGATCCGGACAAGCTGCGCTCGAATGACTCGAACATGAGCAGCGGCGACGACATCGATCAGAACGACAGGCCATTCCATGGATTTTTCGAATTTACCTTTAGGAGATTCTTCGACGACAAACAGCAGCCGGATATGACGGACGATCAGGCGCCGGTCTACGTTTGAATCCCGAATACCGAACCCCGAACCCACCACCCCCCAATCAATTGTTAGTCAAATAGTCACAAAGGAGAGTCCGATGTGTGACGACCAGCCCACAGGAGAATGAAACTATATAGATTATATAATTTATAGGAGAAAAAGAGAAGAGAGAAGAGAAATACAAATATATCATATGCTTGAGTGCATGAACTGAATAAATTTAAAGAGAAAAAACTAAAAAAGAAACGAGAGGCGAGAAGCGAGAAGCGAGCAACGAGAGGGAAGCGAGAACGAGTCATAACTTTGGAATACACTTTCTAAACTACAGATATCTATGGTAAATATCCACGATCTGCAGTCTACTAAGCGTCGTGCATTAACCTGAAAGAATCGGACCAATTTCTGGTGCTCAAACAAAAGAATGCCTTAAAACGAGTACTCTACCCTCTACACACACTGAGCGAAGCGAATTTACCTAAGCCCAATCCACTCTACAGCCCGAGACCAGGGGACCAGGCGACCAATCGATGGATGGCCACTAATACAGCAGGCTGGTTAGTCCAGGCCATCATCCACCGGAGCAGAGATTCAGATTCGGATTTAGGATGGACACGGAACATCATGTCATCGATTGGCGACTATAAGTTGAGCGATAGCGATATAAGCGGGTCTTATAAGCCTAATCTAATCTAACAGAACCAGAACCAGAACCACACCACTCTGCGCTATTCTATCCATGAACCCACACCCATCTCTGTCACTGCTCATTATTGAATTGTCTTTGAACTTGTGTCCAACAATCCCCACAAAAACAAGAAAAGAACAAACTATATATCTATATCTATGTTATACGTATATACTGTATCTGTATCTATATCTATAGCAATGTTAGACCAACTTGTTGAATGCCAAATCAAATTGTTTAAATGAGAATGAAAGTAGAAGAAGAATTCAACACAGAACGAGGAAGGAGGAACGAGGAACGAGAACGGAACTAAATGGAATGGAATGGAAGAGCAGGCGTTATTGTAATATTGTAAAGCAAACTACATTTTAATCCTTATGCCTAGTTACACATTATACATATACATATATCTGTAGTATATAGTAGGTACATGTATGTATATGCAATACATTTTTATTTATGCTAAAGTTGTGTACCGCGTAAGATGTTTTTTAGTTTATAGAACAACCAACCGCCTAACCATAATCTAGTTTAATTTCCTAACACTTAAGGCGCGGTGTGCATCAGTTTTTTTTGGTTTGTTTGTCGTATATTTTGGCGTTGCCCTACCCTGAAGCATGCAGTGCAGTGTGGGGCGTTTTCCCCGTTCAAATTAGCCTCAGTTTGTGTGTGCGTGTGTTTTTTATATGATTACCCATATAGTATATATATATTTTATCAATCTAATTATGTATAGTACGAATACGTAGCATATAGTATATTAAATGTGAGACGAGGGACGAGAGGATCCAATCGAGCTAATTGAAGGGGAGAATACAAACCAACTCTGTGTGTGCCTTGGCCAATTAGTTTACTAAAACAAATTAATAAATGCAAAACAACAAATTTATACAAACAAGCGTTTCGGAAGTTGTTTTTTTTAAGAGGCTACATGGGAGATGAGCACCATCCTCTCTTCAATATGCAATTATCGTTAAAGAATCGGAAATCGTTCTATACTTCAACATTGTTCCACATAAGCATTGACCATTTACCAACAATTATCCAATACCTGATCCATCTTCTGGATCCTTTTTTGAGGCACCTCTGGACACGTCTACCGTTGCGACAGTTTATTCAAAATAATGTAACCCTAAATGAACCACCACTAAACTTAAATAGTTTTAAAACCAGGCACTTTTACCGCCGATAGCTCCAGCCAGCTCCAGCTCTAGGAATGATCTAGGATCTCAGGATATTTTCGAAATAGTGCTGCCACAAAACCAACCATTAAGCTGCTCGAGTCGTACTCTAAAAGAGTCTTCGCCGTGAGATGTAAAGAGATGTATGTGACCTCACATGATCACATAATCGAAGCTGGAGCACCCCAGCGGATACTCCTCTTAAATATTTTGTTTTCGTCCATAAATATCGAATATGCATAACCGAAGGCACACGAACTCCGTATCCTGTTTTGAGTAACTTGGTGTTTGGTGATTCGAAGTGATCCGAATCCGACTGAAGTTAGGATTCGTAATGATCGAACGCATTAGCTACTATTTTATGAATACTGTGGGTTCAAGCAGGGCTCTAGTATGCATATTCCTGATCGGCATCCATTACAGGGTCGATATAGACATGTCTGGTCTGCAGGTCTCAGAGAACCTCTATGATCCTTTGAAAATGTGGATTTTTTTTTTTTAATATCTGTACGAGTATGTCTTGGGTAATTCTGAGACCTGTTTAGAGTCGTAAAGCCGCTCCATTTCTATCTAAAAATGTATTCCAAAACCACCCGAAAATAAGAAATCATTTGTTTTAAATTTTAATAATTTCATTTTTTTGTTTTTTGTGTTTTTTTTTGTATTTTGGTGTTTATTATTTTAACATTGTAAATTTAATAATTATAATAATTGTTTTTGTAAATTTATCAAGACAAAAAGGTTTTATTCATTTATATGAATGCGTGTTTTTATCCATTGAATCATTGAATCGTTCGCTTGTTTTGTTTTGTTTTCTTTTCTTACTTTGATTAAAATACATTTATGCGTAATATTTGAAATATAAGTTATCTGAATCGTTATCTCTCTCTCTGTCTCTCTCTTTTAGTGTTTCTTTTGGGGGCTGGGGGTTTGTTTTAGCGGGTGTTCTCTGTAGAGACAAAACATTTGATGCTGAGGCTTGGCTTTCGCTTAATTTAGGGATCGCTCTATTGTTGAACATAAGAATTAAACAAATAATACATTCCTGCGCATATATCCTACATATATATATACTATATCTGTGGCTTATTTACATAAAGAGTGTGTGTGTGTGTGAGGGTGTGGGTTAAACAACTTTAACAGAGACTGTTCTTTGGGGTAGTAGAAAACAAGGTAGTAGTTTGGAACATATAGGTATATATAGTAAAAACGATGCAAGGCTCTCGATCCTTTCCATTAAGTGTTTATCCTTCATCCATTATCCATTATCCACTATCCATTATCCTTTAAATAACTAACAATCGTCGTGTGTGTTTGTGTATCTCATATAAGGCCCTAGAGTGCAAATATCCATCGACTCCCATCACAAACCACAAAATATTTGCGCTTAAAAGTAGGTTTTTCTTTTTTTTAAGTTAACATTTTGTTCTTATTAAGGAGGGGGCGGGGCGGGGCAAGGGGGCTTTAACTAGGCTAAGTATTCCTTCATTGGTAGTAATAGTAATTATTGTTAAATTTATGCTAAAACTCTTGCGGGCTGTGTTTTCTTTTCCGAAATCTGCGCGTTGTTTGGTTTTTGTATTTTTTTGGATTCTCTAGCTTTTTGTTTTGGCGAAATAATTTACAAAAAATATATGTACTATATATACACATACACATATACATATACATATATATACCGTTCGATCCTGCCACCGATCGTTGCTTCAGTTAAAATACAAATATATAAAAATTAATTAAGTATTAAATGCATTTTTTTTTGTGTGAGTTCCTCTGGTTCTCTTCTCGTTTTTGTTTTTCTTTTGGGGCCGGGGGTCTGTGGAAAAGCAAGAAAATCCTTGGACAAAGAAAATGTTCGTTGTTTGGGAAACCTTTTGTGTACAAATATGTATTTTTGTTGGATTAATTATAGATTTAAAGAATTATAGTTTTTTTTTTGCGGAGGCGCGTGGAAAGGCTGAGGTGGAAAACGATTAGAATTGAAGTTGAAGTTTGAGCTAGAATCGAAAGCATTATCTTTTACATTATATACTCGTAAATTTATTGTCATGGTAAACACTTGTTTTTTGTTTTCTTTTGATAGTTAATAGTATTTTGGTTTTTCTTGGAATTTTCCTACTAGTTTTCTGCGAGACTTTTCCAAAAGGTTTTTCCATTTCTTTTTTACATGCTAACGTTTCTTTTTGTTTTTATTTTTTAGTTTGTTAATTGTTAAATAATCTTTAATAAGGCCAAATTAAGTTTTTGTTTTCGTTTAACTTTAGTTTTAGTTGTAGGCTTAGGTTCGTATGTATATTAAATGTTAGTTGTGGTTTAGTTTAGAGTTAGCTTTAGTTTTAGTTGTAGTTTTAGTGGGGTGTTCTTCTTCTTTAGCAGCAGCCCGGCAGAAGGCCTAAATGCATGAGGCGGCCCTTCAGGGAGTCCCCGCATCGAAGGTGCGCGTGGGGGTCCTCGCCCTTGGCCGAATGGAATGATCTAGTAGGTGTGTTCTCTCTCTCTATCGATGATTCGAGCGGGTAGGGGTGGGGTTTGGGGTAGGGCTAGAAGCGTAGCTCGGGGGGTTAAGTAAAAGAGCTTGAAACGCGCTGCAAGCGGTGGGTTTTCCATCTGAAGAGGGGGCGGAGCGGGTCTTTAATACAGTTTACAGGGGGGGCTAATACTTTTGAATCCTCGGGGTGTGGTATGGTATTGTCTGCGGTTCATAATCTGTTTGTTTGGTCCGGAAGTTGTGTGTTCTTTGAGGAATTTCATGCAAATGGTAACCCTTCCTGGCTCGAACGCTTAAAAATTAACGATATACACATACATATCGATGTAAACTATAAGAAATAAACATTAAATCCATCGAGGAGTGGAACCTTAATTATTTCTGAGTATTCTGCAGCACTTGGTACTGGCCGGGGGCGGGGGGTGGGGCGTGTAAATTATACATAAATCTAATGTAAAAAAATATAGATACACTCTATATATCCATGGGGGAACGGCCAAAACTGGCCGCGACTTAGGCGCTAAACTAAAAACAAATTGTGTGTTAAACTAAGCGAATACTAAAAACAAAATGGATGCAACATTGTAAAAAATAATAATAAATTCGCTCCAACGAAAGGTTTCCTCCTCTTCGATCCGATCATGCTCTCTCCGTTCCCTTCCTTCCTCCTCTTCCCCTTCTTCTTCTCGTTTATATTGCTATAAAAAATATCTCATCTATCGCTCTGTCTCTGTCTCTGTCTAGGGTGCACTCTATCTCCTTCTACGTGTTCCTGCACATTTTTGAGATTTCTGTTTCGTTTCTGTTTTGTTTCTGTTTTGTTTTTCTTTTCTTAAGTACAGCTGTAAGTGCACTGTTAACGACCACTGTTATCGTTTACATTTAGCGGGGACACGCACCCGTCGCGACCGCCGCTACCGATTCGCGACCAGCAAAGACACGCACCACGGCCCTAGTGGAGCAACATTTTGGCATTGAAGAAATCAAAGGCGGGACCCCCGCCGTGGGACGGAGCTGCCGAGGGCGGCGTGGGTGGTGCGGCGAACCGCACATTTCCCGCCCCCGATGGTGGGGCTGGGGGCGGCGGAGGCGGCAGCAGGCCGGCGTGGTGAAAGAACTGCGGTGGCGGCTGTCCAAATCCTGCGCCCGAGAGCAGAGGAGGTGGCGGCGCCGTGGGACGATGTTGTTGCTGCTGTTGTTGTTGTTGCTGATTGGATGGCGGTGGCAGCATCACTCCAGCACCAGGCACGGACGGTGGCCAGGAGAGACGCTGCTGCTGATGGTGCTGTTGGTGTTGGTGCATCCTCTGCTGCTGCTGCTGGAAGGCGGCCATGGCCGCCAGCGGATGCGGATGAGGATGCTGATGAGGGTGCTGGTGCTGATGCTGGTGCGGATGTGCATGCGGATGCGGCGCGTAAGTGCTGCTGCTGGCCTGGGATCGAGCGGCGGCTGACTGGCCGCGACCACGGCGACCGCTGGGCGCCGGTGGCCCCGTTCCCGAGGCGGCTGCTGAGGCGCAGGTGGGCGGCACTGAGGTGTCGCTTACCTATTCCCTGTACGGCTTGCAGTAGGAGTAGCGGTGGTTCATGTGCTGGCTGTAGCTCCCCGAATGCGAGAAGCGCTTCAGGCACTTGGAGCACTGGAAGGGCTTCTCCCCGCTGTGCAGCCGCTTGTGCTCCGTCAGGTGGTGCTTGTGCTTGAAGGCCTTCGGGCAGTCCATGCACTGGTAGGGTCGTTGACCTACATACAGAAAAGGGTCAGAGGTTAGTCCGGCGATCAGTGGGTAATCTCTCGCGGGGAGTACTCACCGGAATGCTCGTACTTGTGCCTCGCCAGGGAGCTCTGCTTGGCGAACGCCTTGTCGCACTGGTCGCAGACGAAGGGCAGATCCGGATCGCCGGCATGCCCGTGGGTCTCGGCCTTGCCGCGACGGGGCTTGGGGGGCATCAGGCCGTTGCCGAAGTCGTCCTCGTGGGAGATGCGCGAGTCGTCGTCCCGCCAGGAGCGCTTTTCGGAGCCGCCCGGACTGAGGCTGGTGCCGCGGAAGTCGGGCATCTTAATACTGTTCATCAGGGGATTGGGGGCGTACTCGCCGCCAGGGCGCATCTGGAAGAGGGCCTCCATGGGGAGCCGCTGCATGGGGAGCATGTACTGGAGTCCGGGGAAGGCCTGGCCGCCTCGCGGCGTCGAGCAGTGCTGCGCGGGCGTGACCTCGAGCTGGCTGGGCGGCGATGGAGGCGGACCACCAAAGGGCCAGAGGGCTGCCGCAGCGGCGGCCGCAGCTGCCGAGGACTGCTGCAGAGAGGCGCCCGACGAAGGCGACAGCGAGGCTGGCGACATGGAGGCCGAGCTGGAGAACTTGCGGCTCAGGTTGATGGCCTCCTGGAAGTCGGCGGGGCCTGGCTGTCCGGCAGCCTGCTGCTGGGGCAAGCCGTACGCGGCAGAGTGGTCGCTCTTGGGCGTCAGGGAGTCGCGCTTCACGGACAGATCCAGGGGCTGATCCTCGGTTGTGGGACGGCTGGCCACTGGAGTGGTGGGCACTTCATTGGCGGCAGGAGCTGCCGAGTGGACACTGGCATAGCTCTGCATCTTGCGCTCGCGGGACCGATTGTTCTGGAACCAGACCTGGACCACGCGCGGATCCAGCTGGAGGCGGGCCGCAATCATCCGGAACTCGTCGCGACTTGGCCGCGCATTGAGGGCGTAGTGCTGCTTCAGCTGCTGCTGCTGCTCCTCGTTGATGGCCGTGCGCACGCGCACCTTGCGCTCGTTGCTGTCCGGACGCGGCTCCGTGTCGTTGTCGTTCTCGCGCTCCTCCTCCTCGTCGTCATCCTCGCTGGCAGAGGGCAGGGCAAAGGACGCCTGCTGGTGGTGCTGCTGCTGCTGGAGCTGTTGGTGGTGCTGCTGCTGCTGCTGCTGCTGGTGGTAGTGCTGCTCCAGCTCCTCCTTGATCAGGCCGCAGAGGACCTTCTCGTGCTGCACCAGCTCCGTGTGGTGGTTGAACTGCTTGTCGCAGCGGCTGCACCGCAGCTCGGCGGGTGTGTCCCCCCTGGGGGAGGAGACAGAGGCTTCGGGCTGAGCCGACGCCATGGCCTGATCCTCCTCCACGGAACGGGGCTCCTCCTGCTCCTGCTTGAAGGACTTGGGCGAGGGCGGTGCACTCTCCGGGAGTGGGGTGGGCTCGCGGCTGGGCTCCTGCTTGATGGGAGCAGTGGCCATATCGACGACGGGTTCGATCTCCTCTGGCATGGTCTGGGGGCTGGCCTGTGGCACCATACGCTCCTTGGCCTCAGCCTCGTCGATGTCCATCACCAGCTTGGGCTCCTCCGGCGTCTCAGGCTCTTCGTGCTGCTCCTGCTCTTCGCGCTCCTCGCGTTGCTGCTGCTGTTGTTGCTGCTGCTGCTGCTGTCCGGCGGCCGTCAGCTCCAGGAGCCGCTGTATGCTGTAGGGGTGGACGCGGGGATCCAGGGCTGCTGCCATGAAGGGATTGGGGAATGCCAGCAGGGCCGCATTCATGTAGTTGGGATAGAACGGCGGAGGAGCTCCATTCGGTGCCGCGGCCTGCGCCTGTGCCTCGCCGGCAAAGTAGATCATGGGATTGGGCAGCGGAGGCAGGGACTGTTGCTCGGACATCTTTCCGGCGCCGTTCTTGGGGCCCTGCAGGTTCGTGGGCGAGCGTCGGGGCCCGGCGCCAGGACTCTTCTCCAGGCGCTTGAGCAGCGCCCGATTGTTGTTCAGCTTGAGGCCCATGCTGATGCACTTCTTGGAGGTCATGTGGGAGGAGAAGCTGCCGGAGTGCGAGAACCGCTTGCCGCAGTTGTCGCAGCCGAAGGGCTTCTCGCCGGAATGGATGCGCACATGCTCCTTCAGGTGGTGCTTGAACTTGAAGGCCTTGTCGCACTCCTTGCACTTGAATTTGCGCAGCAGCGCCGACTCGTCGTGGCTGATCATGTGCCGCTGCAGGCGGTACACATTCGCGAAGGCTTTGTGGCAGATTCGGCAAGTCTGCAAAAGGCAAGAGTTAGAGGGAGATGGTTATAGAGTATGTGTATTGTGTGGTTTAATACAAGGTGAGACATGTCCTAAGATCCGCTCTGTCGCGGGCGTCAAACTAGCTCCGTTTCTTTCACCTCGTATGAGCAAACTTCAATCCTCTCTTTTAGCAACAAGGTAGATTTGTACAAGGTAAGGCACGGCCGAAGAGAGCTCACTCTCAAGTCTCACTCTTGTAGAAATCTACCTTTTCTTAAACTGTTCCTTGCCTGTTTCCCCGCATTTGTAACCCTTTTGAAAACCATCTCGGTGGTCGGTGACGCCGCCGCAAAACCAGCCACCGATGTCATTTTTTGTTGTTGTGTTTCTGCTCTATTTAGAGGCCACATACACACGCACACACATGCAGAACGAAGACACAGAGAGCGAAAGAGAAACGAACACCAACGCACAGGTAATAAAAACTGTTTAAAACAACAAATGTATTTATTTGCTTGATATTTAACGGCTTTCTAATTTGTTTCAAGGCAAAGCCAGAGACGCAAACACACAAATCAGAAATCAAAAGGCAGCCACAGCAACCCGCGCGCGTCTGCTTGTGGCAGGAGTCGTAAATGCGATATTTTGTGATATTTTTTGACCCGCGAAAGACTATAAAACGAGGGAAATAATGCAAAAAACGACTTCAATCAAACAGAAATTCGTGCGCGCACAGCGCGAAACGAGATCGAAATGAGAGCCAGTGCGCGAGTGACAGGGACAACAGCACCGAGCAGTGCGTATCGCTCCTCGTCGGAGCCGAAGGTTGAGGTAAGGTGGAGTAATAACAAGAAACACAAGCGAAAGGTGGATAAAAAGATAAACTACGAAAATACCCCACGCGAGCGTGAGAGAGCGAGAGAGCAAGATAAGTACCGCAAGAATGCAAGCTGCGCTCAGCTGCTGCTACTGCGTCTGCTGCGGAGGAAAGAGTGGAAGCAGGGAATAAATACGCGACAAAGAAAACATTAACAAAAGTGTGTGGAAATAAACAAAAGTGAAATCAAATCAAATCAAATGAAAATGTTTCAACAGCTGATGCAAATCAAATGCTTTTTGTTTGTGCTTTGTGTTTGATTTGTTTGGCTACGAATAGAACTCGTCAGAAATGCAGCCGCGTTGCATCTGCCTTCCGTCTCCCGCCCAAAGGTGGAGCCTACGGAAACAGGGCGTGTGTTTGTGTGTGTGAAAGGGAAAGTGGAGCCGCCTCATGGTGCTGGGGGGTGGCGCATCCTCCTCCACTTAGCCGCTGCGTTGAAAGATTTGCGGCACTTTGCGGACATATGGCAACACGTGTTGTTCTCCCGCTCCCACTCTCCCATCGTGCGCCTGTTTTGTTTACCGTTAAGGCAATGAACTTTCCCTCCCATCCATTGCTCACCTTTGCTGCTTTTCAATATTTTCCATATTTTCTCTCATCAAAATATTTATTATTTTGTTGCAAAGTTCACGACATTGTCGATTGTACACACTCAGTGTCCATATTATTTGGTCGCTGACTGTGCACAGGCCTGGCCTTTGTCTTTGCAAACACAATTTCGGACTTTGGCTCGACGCGGGGTTACTCAGCGCCGGGCTTTGGCATGAATTTCAATTAACGGGCCTCGCGGCCAGCCTATTAGTCATAATCATCAATTTACACTCGAGATGAGATCAGAACGCCCCTCTTCAGTGGGTCCACATGGTCCACCGTGGACCATCCAAAAAATATCCCCACCTAATTAGTTTGTACATTAACGTGACACTGTGTTTATTTGTTCAGCAAGTGGAAAAAAATAATACATTTATACGCCCATAAAGCGTGCATAGGCTGCGCGAGGCCCTGGGGCCCAAATTGTGTGTTCGTGTTTGTGTTTGTGCTGTGTGTTAAAAAACAACGGAAAATGGTTTCCCCTGAATGGGATTTTTCATTTGAGTGAAATGTGAGCGGCGCCGGCTGTGCAGGAGGCTGGTGGCTGGAGGGCGGGCCCTGTGCTGCGCTAATGCTGAATGGCCGGAAAAGCAACAAAAATTTCCGTTTCCTTTGTTATTTTACCTGGTTTTCATTCATTTTAATGTTTCTCTTTGACTGCTTTTTGACGTCACGTCACACTCTCTTTCATTGAAGAGCGCGGGCCATCCGTATATCATTTGTCTTCAGGTAAGAGCAGAGCAGAGAGAGAGAGAGAGAGAGAGTCCAAAAAACCAGCATGGCTACCTGTTGCCCTCGCGCGCACACACACACACACACGCACACGCATACCAAAACCCGTTATCTCCGAAGTCACGCTATCTGCCTCTCGCTCTGGCCCACTCACTGAGAGGCTTAATCAGGTTGTCGCCGCGCACCGCACACCGCAATCATGTATTTTGCGATACGCCTACCTACGAACGACGCGACGCAGTGCAGCGCAGCGAGTACCTCCAGAGCGGGCATTAAACCGCAGATCCACACACAATGGAAGCGCTTTGTTGTCGCTTCGTCGTCGTTATCAATTAAATGTAACGCAAAGCAAAGCAAAGTGAAGTGAAATGAAAATGAAAATGGCAGCCCAGCCGTACAGCCATACTACTCGTACTACTACGCCTACCGTCCGAGTCCGAGTCCGAGTACAGTGGATGCCCAGCACACGTTTACAAAAGGTAAGCCGCACTCTCCGAGTGGTGCTCCATTTTGTGGATGCGTCAGCCGGATTCTTCTTATGCGCTTTATTGTTTGTATTATATTGTTGTATTCGTGATGGACTGCCAGCGGAAATGCCAATTGAAGCTACCTTTAACAATGAATGCCCCCACGAAGATGCCCCGGGTCCCAGGGGTGGACTGACTGCCGCATGACTCAAGTGCACGGGTGGTATTTTGAGGGGGAGGCAGAGCACTTGAGCTAAAGTTGGAAATTTGATGGATTCCACTAAGCATTCCCTACCATTCGCGTCCATTCCATCGGGAAACACATGGTTAAGCGCCACTCGAGGTACAGTCTGACCCCCCCACCGTTTGGCGTTGGCCCTAGCCCCGATAAGCAGTCGCACACGTGCGTTCATCTGTGCGTGTGTTTATAGTGTGGTCTCGCTCTCGCCTCTGCCATTTCGAATGGGAAAGTATTTCGGAGCACCTTCCACGAATTTTCGGGGTACACGAATGCTGCTGATAAGAAACGGGATCTCAATCGATCAGAGCGCGTGTGTGTGTACCGAGAGCGTAAACAAGTTGTTGGGGGATCAGGGCCGGAATGCGATGGGATTACGGATTAGCAATGTTGGTAAACAAGATCTCTAAGGGTAAGTACACACTCGTACACGGATCAGCAGGTGCAAAAAGGTTCATTGCCTCAGCGGGGTACTGCTTATCGTCACTCCCCTCCCCCTCCCAACCCTCTTATCAGCCTGAACGGGAATTACTTGCAGAATCAGCAGAATCAGTAAGCGGAAGCTATCAACCTCGGACCACACACTGGATCGCTTCAAAGCGCCCATCAACTTAAACGATTCTGGCACGGATCCGCCTGCGCGGGTCCAGCGGGTCCGCCGGCTACCCGGCCATGCCTGGTTAATTGCAGGCGACAAGCCTTTGGCTATAATTATAACGCAACGTAGGTGGGCGTCTGGCCTGGCGCACTGAGGCCCCCGCCTCACTAATAGACAAATCAAATGAAAGCCCCCGACCACACAGCCACAGACACGGACACGGACACAGACACATCCACAGAGGCATCGCATCCATGGATATACATAGATAATGTCTTGACAGAGCGACAGAGAGCTAATTTGTGAACGTATTTCACGATTATTCGGTGAAAATGCTTTATGCATTGAGTGACATGGGAATTTGGCCATAATAGCGCACATAATTGGCTGTAAAAGATGATCGACCAAAGGGAGATGTCTCTGGGCTTTTAGAGTGACAACCGCAGAACATCGTTGACAAAATACTCGTACGAACGTGCGTTTCAAAAGTGTAAGGGCTTTGCCAGTGACAGATCTACAGCGAGAAATCCGAGTTCATTCGCGGCATTACTGATCATTCTAAACTGGTTTCCTTTCGAAAGACAGCCTCTTTAGCTCTATGAAACGCACTGTACAAAGCTCTATACGCAGATATATAGATGTACATATCTGATAGATATAGAAACGCACCTGTCGCCTGACGAAATGCGTAAACAAAAATAACAACAAGCGACAAGCTCAAAGTTTTCTTCTGCCTCTTGCTTGTGTTTTCTGTTTTCTTTCTATTTTATTTTGTTTTGAGGTCAACGCAAAAAAAAAAATTATTAACGACGCCACAAAGAAATGTTTAGCGCAAAAAGATGAAACGAAAGAGAGGACGATACGAACGAACGATCCGTCGGAGATCGGACGGAGATCGGACATCTAACTGCTTTATAGCGAAACGCGACCCAATTTCTGGCTTATCGCCACGCCTCTGACTGGCGGCAGCTGCACGATGTGAAATACGACTAAGAAGTGGAACGAAAATCGGATGCGACCGAATCGGACGGAGATTACGCCCCGTAAGAGCCACTACACGGAATGAATGAATTTCCACTAGGGCCATTGACGTACCACCTTGCGAGAGAGAGAAAGAGAGAGAGAGAGAGACCTGAACTAATTGTAGTACCTCGAGGAATCAGAGATCAATCATCTCTCGTGGGGTTATCTGAACGGATCGGATCGGATCGCCCTGTCCGGTGGAAGCCAGACTCTGGCTTGAGGCTGGGTTAATTTAGTAGAATTTATTTATTACGTATTTCGCCCAGCGAACAGCGAAAGTTCATTAACTCTCGTGTCGGTCGGAACGAAGAGGAGGATCTTCTTCGAGATGCTTTCTTCTGTGCGGTTCTGTTCGGCGGGCTGTCTTTGGACCCTGAGAAGCACATTAATTCCGGCCATCGGGAAGGGAATTGATTAACACGAAGAGCATTAACAGGGAAATACTTTTAGCCGTTTCTGTGGTTAATTCTTTATGGGCCGCACTGCCGCATTTCTCAATATTTTACGGCCCAGAGAGAGACAGAGAGAGAAAGAACTTTCACTGGGGGATTTAATATTATTATTTTGCCATAAATCATCTGTAAATTTAACTGTTGAAACCGAAATCTGTGTGCTTCGGCCAGCGACAAATCAAATTTAATTGTTTATAAATAAAACGTTTTTCTCCGAGTGTTCCCCTCAATTTCCTCTCTCTCTCGAGAGAGAGAGACAACGCGACAACGGGAGACAGAGACCTGGCGAAATTAGTTGCGTATTAGGAAAACATAAATTAGGCGACGCCGCGGAATAAATTAAATTTATCACTTTTGATAAAAGCCAATGAGAGATGAGAGATTGAGGGACTGAGAGACGGAGAGACCGGGAGACGGAGACACGGGGCGAGAGTCTGAGAAATGTGGGTCGAGGGAAATTAGGGAAACGTGTCGTGGAAAAATTATGATTTTCCTCTTTCTTTTGCCAGCCAACAGCTGCGACAATCAATTTCACAGCAAATATTTTCCACTCAGAAGAGTCTTGGGGCGGGGGGTGGGAGGAGGAGAGGCATCTTCTTTCAAGGGAAATACCTGTTCAATGACAGAATACTATCAGCTCGGAGCTGTAATCTCTTTCGAGCTGAATCGTTAATGTTATCGCTTTTAGATGGAATTATATTTTGATGTTTCTATTTTCACCAGAAGTGTCGGGGCTTTCAATATATTTTATAGCTCATTTTTGCTGGAATCTAGAGTGTTTTAATGAACTGGAATTTGCTTTCAATTCTATTCACAGGTAATGCTTTCGCATGGCAACTCTTTCGCCTGGCAATGCTTTCGTGTGGCAACTCCATACTCCCCACAACTCGCATAACAATCTTCTATGAAGGAACCATCTTGAGTAGCACGAATCTCTTCTCACAATCCACAGGAGTGTCCAATGAAATGTCAAGTGCGATGTTCGCTCTCTGTCTCTCTGTCTAGCGATGCAGTTCTCGACTTTCTCCAGCAATCCCCCAAGACATCGCATTTCTCATTAAACATATCAAGTAACAACCGCACAATAAACGTCACGAGTGAAAAAACCCACGGGACTGGCAGAGAGAGAACCCCGAACTGGGGTCTGGGGAAATGTCTGTGGAATTTCCATGTGAAACGAAACGAACGCCACATAATTTATGGCCCTCACGGTGAAAGTTGATATAAATCTCGGGAGTAACTTAAAATTCATCCAGTGCCGAAGAGGAGAGCGTCTTGGGGCAGGGCTCTGACATGTGTGCGGGGCATGTCCGTGGGCATTGGCGGCACTACGTGTGTGCAGGAGAGTGCAGGTGTATCCCATAGGAAGCGGAAGACACAGGAACTCCCAACGATGATGATGATGACGATGAGAGAGAGGAATAATGTAAATTACCTCCTGACAGGAGCAGCAGTTGAATGCCTTTTTCCCCTCCTAAAAAACGATCTTCCTTCTCGGGGATTCCTTGAATTTGAAGTGGAAATGGACGGATGCATTACCGCACGGAGAGCATCAATTATCTGCTCTAATTATAATTATTTGAAATGTATTCGAAATGAATTACTCGCTAGCCGAAAGGCAATCCATTTGTAACTTCGGTCTACGGCCACGTACGGGTCCATGGGAGTCTATGGGAGTCCATGCGAGTCCATGGGAAAGTTGTTTCATTTGTTTGCTTTAATTGCGAATAATTTTTAAACTTTCAAGCCCCCATCCCCCCGTCCCCCGTGTGTGAACCCTTGACCTTACAGTGTCCGCAGAAATACATAAAAATACATTTAAAAGCGGTTCGCTGGAAGGACTGCTGCCGGGGGTTGCCAGGGGGGAGCAGGAGGAGGAGGGACTTGAATAAATTGCTATTAATTTTTCACTGGCTGTTCGTCAAGCGGCGGCGCCGAGACGACGGCGACTGCCACACAGAGAGACACGGAGAGAGTGCCGTCCTGGATCCGTGCGATGGGCCAGGACTCGCACCTAAAGTGCATATAATTTTTCAATTTGAATTGTCCACGCCCCAGACCCCACACACCACACACCACGGGGGTTGCCTTGCCCCATTTTGTGGCCCCATGGCCAGAAAGGTGGCAACAACCCACCAAATGAATTGTGGCCAAAAAGTTGCAACTCTCCTCTCCTCTCCCCTCTCCCTCCCTCTCTCTTGATGGGTGTGTCTGCAGTTAAGCAAATATTTAATTGCTGCACTTTTTTCTGTTGAAAGTTTGCCAGGCCCCTCCCCCTCCCCACCGTCCCTTCTCGGACTCTGGTTTTTTGAGCCATAATTTATGGGCTGCCATTTGCTCTCCTGTCAGATCTGCCTGGCCACCGGCCACCGGCCACTGGCCACTGGGCCTTCTGTCCCTCCCCGCTCCGTTAATGATGTTGACCTTAACAACAAATGTTAAATGTTGCATCAACAATGTTGGCTCTCAATGAGCGTCATGCGACATCCCCGAAGCCCCGCACACATCCTGTCAACGCCTGCGGTCAGTATGGGGCCATTTTTAATGCCTTTTCAATAAAAAGTCATGGGGGGAAAAGCCCCAGAAATAAAAAATTACAGTCCTTGGAGGTAGAAGCGATTGATACCCTGGAAGTCACTTTGGAGATGGTATAGTGATCCGTTTCAGCGGCTACTTCTGTGTTTATCGGTGCAAAAGGATG